CTAATGTGTATGGCGCTTCTTCTGAGACCCTGATCGTGTATGGACTCTGCAAGTCTTCGTTGTGCAAATGTGTCACCCCAAAGCAATAATTACGAGCCGCACGGTCGTCTCGCTGTCTGCCTGGAGTTGCCCAGATAAGTTTACTTCCACGTTTGAGGACACCGCTGAGTAGGAAAGCAACCGCCGTATCTCGGTCGAGTATGCTGTCAGACTCCGCAAATGCTATATCTTGAAGCTTCCTTTTTGCGTACATGTGCCTCCGGATCGGGCCTCAAATTGAAGATCTTTGCTTTCGGATGTACGTGCAAACCGCTGCGATGGAGTCGAAGTTGACAAGGTTGCCGATGACCGTAGTGATAGCACGTTTGCCCTGATAGTGATAAGCATTCGCATTCGCGGTACCTTGCGAAGTTGTTGAGTGAGACCTTGGGGTATGAGTTGCCAGTAATGCTAATTGCTGTTCGATCTTCTCGATGCGCTCGTTCATCGTGTTCTCCACGTTGACCGCACGCATTTGTTCTTCCTCGAGTTCGTCGCCGATCTCGTCGATTTTCGTTTGCAATGGCCGACCGAGTGGCAACTTCAAGATCTCGGTGGGATACTCCATGTAGCTTGATCGCTGTGATATCTTGCTTAATAGGGGCGATCTGGTCTTTCATGAGGTTCTGGATGTCGTCGATGATCGCAGGAACACTTCCCGAAGAAGGTCCGGAGGTCTTGCTATCGTTACTGTCGCTACCCTCGGCGCCGGCCAGTTGATCCTGAAAACGTCGCTCTAGTGCACTGGCGAACTCGGAGTCGTCGAGACCGTCCATCTCGTGTAATGGACTGTGGATCCGGTGCTGCTTGAACAAGTGCTGGACAGGGGTACTTGGCGCGCGTTTGTCAGAAGCAGCCTCCATCGAAAGATATGGGAAGGAAGTGGCGTGGTGGTAGGAAAGCTAGACAATGTATGAGTATCGTGTCTAGGGACTGTACCCCCGTAAAACCGAGCCTTGAGCCAAAGATACGTGAGCCAAAATGGCGCTACGGGACCGAAAACCTCAGCGACATCGGAACTAAGCGCCTGGACGGGCCCCTGATCATGAAACTCTTGGCGGCGATGGGGTCATGGCGAGAGCTGGTCGGACCAGGCTGGCCGCTGCACAGATCTGCAGCCTCCCGAGAGACAAAAGGCGGAGAGCGGAGAGCCAAAACTGTTCGGGCTCCCACGGCGCTCTGGAGCAGACTGCCATCCCGCCTCGCTTCCCCTCCTCCCCCATCCCTGCCCGGAGGCGCCCGGGGACCCTCCGCGCGGCTAACGCGGCGGAGGCCGCAGGTCTCAAACGGCCAGCCGCGCGGTCGTCGCCGCCGCGCCGCCGCCGCCGCCGTCATCATCGTCGTCGTCGTGTTCGCTCGTCGTCGTCGTCGTGCTCGCTCGTCGTCGTCGTCGTTATCGTCGTGCTCGTCTTCGATTTCGTATTCAATCATCGTCGTCCGCCGCCGCCGTCGTCGTCGTCGTTGCCGTCCTCGTCGCCCGTCGTTGTTGTCGTCGTTGCAGGTGGCGCTGTGGCTGCAGATGGAGAGTCGGTCGGGGCTAGGACGAGGATAAATCCGTTCCAGAGCGTTCCGGAACGTTCTGAGAAGGCCGGTGCGCCCGAAACATCTTCCAGGTCCTCCAGATTTCAGAGATTCTCGATCCATCTTCACCCAATGTAATCCTCGTCCGGGCTTCGTCTTAAGGAGTGGGGCCAGAGCGAGGGGGCAGTGAGGAGCAGGGGGCAGGCGGGGAGGAGCGAGCGAGCGGGGGCAGGAGCAGGAGGAGGCGGGCCAGCACCACGAGGGAAGGTAACCAGGTCGAGCGGGGCAGAGGGCCCCGCAAAATTATTCCCATTGGGGGCGGCCACGAGGGTGGTGGTGACTGGGGGGGGGGTTGGACCCGGGTTGGAGCTTTCTCCGAAGGGCTTAGGCGAACCGTCCTCCTCCTCCTCCTTTCCTCCTCCTCCTCCTCCTCCTCCTCCTCCTCCCCTCCTCCTCCTCATCCTCCTCCGCCTCCTCCTCCTCCTCCTCCTCCATCTCCTCCTCCCCCTCCCTCTCCGCCACCACCTCCTCCTCCTCCTCCCTCCTCCTCCTCCTCCTCCTCCTCCTCCTCCTCCTCCTCCTCCTCCTCCTCCTCCTCCTCCTCCTCCTCCTCCTCCTCGGCTCGCCTACGGCTCCGGGGGAAACCGCACAGGGGGGTTATCATGGCGGGGGGAAAAACACGACCTCCCCACATTTCACGGCGCCGCGCCTTACATCAATACGTCCCTCGGCCCCACCTGGGCCGCGCACGTGCCGCCGGGCATGATTTGTGCCCCCTCCCTTCTCCTCGGACGTCCCCCTGTTGGACGCCCCCGATCCCACCCTCCCCCCCTGGCAACATCATGATCAGTTGTGGGACAATATGATCCTGGGATCGGGACGCATTCCTACCCAGCAAATTGAAGACTCGCGCGCGGCCCAGGTCCTGACGACTTGGCGATGGGGGAACTGGGCGGGCCGCGCAGGGGCGGGATCGGCAAGACTTCCAGTGGGCGCGGCGATGACGAAATCTGCGCCGCCGGCACAGTGCTGCCATTTTCACTCACAAACGACGCTGCGCTAGCTGAGGGGCTGTCGCAGGGCATGTCCTCGTCTTGTTCGAGGGCGCTCCAAGCAGTCAGCTGCCCCCACTGTTGCTGTTGGGGGCAGCCCACCCTCGAACAGAATCGGCGCGTGTGATTCTTTCCTTCTTCATTGCTTTGCCGATCGGCGCGGGCCCTCGCACCCCCCCTCCCCACGTTCACCGCTCCGTCGCCGAACCCCGATCCGTGGATCTGGCGCCCACGGGCCAGATCCACGGATCAAGCTCGGGTTCGCGAGTGCCTGGCGCCCAGGGCTCGCGCGGCGCCGCGGGAGCCAGGAGAGCGGCCCATGGGGCGGGAGCCCAGGGTTAGGTCGGGCCTGTCCCTCTACAGGAGGAATATTCGAACATAGTAAAAGAGCAGTCAGGGGACGATTTCCTGACTATTGTGGAATATGTTTGGAGTATGTTCTGGGTATCTTTAATGTTTCGTCCGAAATCCACCTGCAGGGGGAGGGGGACACGCCCGACCTAAGCCCAGGGGGACCCCGGCGAGGGTGCCCCAGTCACCGGCGGGCGGCGGGTCGCGGACCCCACGGCGGGGATGACTGGTGGTTGCCCCGCCGTTTCTCGCGAGCGTCGAGGTGCCTGAGGCGGTACGCTCAAGTCGGGCCTGTCCCTCTACAGGGGGAATATTCAAGAAGAGTTAAAAAATACTCAGGGGACGATGTTTGACTATGTTTGACCGTTTTTGGTGTATTTGTTTGATCATATTATATTCCCAACCCTCCTTGGTTGGGTATTCGTTGTGAACAGAGCACCGCAGTCGCGTCTCCCTCCTCCTCCCGCCTCCTGCCTTCCGCCGACTGTCTCCCGCGAGACATCGCCGTCCCCGGGGGGGGGCTGCGATTTGCGAAATTGTCGCCACTTTCGAGGGCTGCTGGTGGGTCCAGCGGAGTGAGGCGCCGCGCGGATCTGAGCGGGACCTCCCCCTCCTTGGGGGGCTGCGATCTGCGAAAAAGGTGGCCACTTTCGAGGGCTGCTGGTGGGTGCAGCGGATTGAGGCACCGCGCGGATCTGAGCGGGACCTCCACGTCCCTGGGTGGCTGCAATCTGCGAAACAGGTCGCCACTTTCGAGGGCTGCTGGTGGGTCCAGCGGAGTGAGGCACCGCGCGGATCTGAGCGGGACCTCCCAGTCACTCGGGGGCTGCAATCTGCGAAATTGTCGTTATTTTTGTTCGAGGGCTGCTGGTGGGTGCAGCGGAGTGAGGCACCGCGCGGATCTGAGCGGACCTCCCCGTCCTGGGGGGCTGCAATGTGCAAGCTTGTCGCCCTTTTTGAGGGCTGCTGGTGGGTCCAGCGGAGTGAGGCACCGCGCGGATCTGAGCGGGACCTCCCCGTCATTGGGGGGCTGCGATCTGCGAAAAAGGTGGCCATTTTCGAGGGCTGCTGGTGGGTGCAGCGGATTGAGGCACCGCGCGGATCCGCGCGGGACCTCCACGTCCCTGGGTGGCTGCAATCTGCGAAACAGGTCGCCACTTTCGAGGGCTGCTGGTGGGTCCAGCGGAGTGAGGCACCGCGCGGATCTGAGCGGGACCTCCCCGTCCTTGGGGGGCTGCGACCTGCGAAAAAGGTGGCCACTTTCGAGGGCTGCTGGTGGGTGTAGCGGAGTGAGGCACCGCGCGGATCTGAGTGGGACCTCCCCGTCCCTGGGGGGCTGCAATCTGCGAAATTGTCCCACTTTCGATGGCTGCTAGTGGGTCCAGCGGAGTGAGGCGCCGCGCGGATCTGAGCGGGACCTCCCCGTCCATGGGGGGCTGCGATCTGCGAAAAAGGTGGCCACTGTCGAGGGCTGCTGGTGGGCTCGCCACTTTTCAAGGCTGCTGGTGGGTGCAGCGGAGTGAGGCACTGCGCAGACCTGAGCGGGGCCTCGCCGTCCTTGGGGGCCATGCCATGTTGTGGTTGCCCCGCCGACGTTTCAATCCCCTTGCCCACTGTCTCCTTTTGGACCTTGCGTCTTCCTTAGTGACTCAAGGGTTCCTTCTCGTCAAATCTCCCAAGCTACTCATGCCCCGCATTGCGCAGGGGTTGGGTACGTCGCAAGGGTAATTGTTCGTTCGAAATCCGCATGTAGGGGGCAATGCCCGACGTAATGGTATGCATGCGAATGGAATCCCAGGTGGCCTCGGGAGGCTGGCCAGGGGGTGGCGCCGAACGGCGCACACAGAACTCATTGATTTGCAAAACGACGTTGTCGGCGTTTTTGCTCAGATGGTTGGATTTTGTATACCAGGGTCGGGAGCAGAACACACCTTTCTTCCGCGTCTGCCGGGGTTATGGGTGTCTGAGGCGCGCGCGAACGACGCTCGTACCAGAGTTTGGCTTAAGCTGCACGGCAGGGTGCGTCCTGGAGGCCTCATGAAGCGCGCGGGCCCCCGGGAATGCTGTGTTCCTGTCCTTGTCTTGGCTTGCGGGCTTGTCTCCACATCCGCTGGCTGGCCAATGCGTCGGAGTTGGTGCGACTCTACTGAGAACGGCATCTGTGTTATAACCACAAATAGGACCGTGTCGAGGCCGTTCCAACTGCGGCATAAAGGGGACGTGGAGTTCCGTGGTGCACAGTGGCAGTGCGTGATCTCGAAAGGTTCGTACGAGTCGTTGCACATCGACATAGCTGTCGATGGCAAGCTCAGCCTCAGGAAGGGCTCCCTCCTGCACTGCGCGACGATCGTGCTGGAGGCAGTCAAGATCGAGCTCTCCGACAGCTCTGAGGTGAGCGCCAACGGGACAGCCTTCGGCAGCGAGCCCGCGATCGAGAAGGACCCGCTGGGCTGGAGCGGGGTCCGCCGGGGAGCCTCGCACGGTGGCCTCGGCGGGTCTGGTCCCGGGTGCTCAGCCACGCGCAGCGGGGGGTGGGGGGAGGGGGGAGGGCTTCTTAGAAGCTCCCCTGCTTCTTCGAGGGCGCGGGCCCCGTCCATAGATGCAAGGCCGGCGCCCTCTAAGAAGCAGCCTCCTTCTGAGAATCAAGGGAGGAAAACCACCCAGACCGGACAATTGGCGTTTGCGAAACGGCCTTGGGCGTTTACTAAACAGCCCTGCCCTGTTCGATTCCTTCAACGGGGGCGTTTGCTAAACGGCTTCGCGTGTCGAAGTGGTCATTATCGGGGTGGATTTTCTGCCCTCTAAAAGAGCCCTCCCCCCTCCATCCACCCCCTCGCGCGCGCCGCCAAGGTGCGCCAGCGACGACACCCTGCTGCTGCGTCGCCTGTCCCTCGCCTACGGCAGCCTGCTGGCGCCGTGGTCCATGGGCCGTGCTGGCGTGGCGGCAGCGCGCGGCCTGGGTGGCGGCCGCGTCCGCGTGGCCGCCCAGGAGCTCACGCTGAATGGCACAGTGTCCGCCGCCGGCGTCGGCCCAGAGAACATCGGCGACGACGAGGATCGGCACGAACGAAATGGGTACGGAAAGCATGCGTACACTGTCCAAGAGCAGTTCCTGTTCACTTTGAGCAGGACTCGCTGTCCGCGCCGCCGGGGCCTTTGTCCGTTTGATACAGAAGGCCGCCTGCCCAACAGCGGCCGCTGCTGGTGTGGGACAACATGTGTTGTTGGGCATTGTGCCCATTTGTTCCGTACCCATTTCGGGCGTCCAGAGAGGAGAGGGACGATACTGCCGCGGGCTCCGGCGGCTCTATCTGGATCACCTGCAGATCCCTGGTGCAGCTCACCAGCCAGGGCAACGCCACCAGCAACACCACTCCGCCCATCTTGCTGCGCTCGGGCTCTGGGCGTATCGTCGCCACGGGTGGTAGCTGCGCGGGCTGCCTCTGCGGCGGTGGCGGCCGCGTCGTGACGGAGTTCGCGCACGGGACAGCCCCGCGCCATGTGCTGGTCTCTGGAGGCTGCTGGCGGTCCACCACGGCTCTGGCGCACGAGAGCACAGTCTACCACCACGCGGCGCCGCTGTCGGAGTGCGCGTGCGGCTCCGCCGGCACCTGGGTGCTGCGGAAGCAGAGCGGGTCCCGCCGCTCGAGGAGCCCCGGGCTGCCGAGCGCGCGCGGCCTGCCGCGGGGCCTGCAGCACCGGAAGATCCTGAAGAGCCAGGGCCAGAGCGAGGGCGACACCGTGTTCGTGGACAACTCGCACGCCGTGAGCCTGGCGGGCTCCAAGCTCTCCCAGCCCACCCCGCTCGCCATGAACTTCGGCAGGCCAGTGGCGCTGCAGCTCCACGACGCCGTGGTGGTGCCTTCGGAGGAGAGGCCGCAGTGGAACCTGACCAGTCTGCGACTCGTCTCAGAGACCATCGGGTCGATACTTCGGCATTTGGCACCGTCCCCGCTAGTGCTCAAGTTCGCCAAGCCGAACGAGGGAGTCGAACTGGCGCTGTCCTCCATCCTGCAGGCGAACGAGCTCCAGATCACCGGAGCACAGGAGGTCGTCCTCCAGCAGAACGCCGCCATCGACGCCGCCGTGGCCAGCATCTCGGCGAGGGAGGTGATCGACACCCACAGGGGAGCCCTGGGCCAGGGGGGCGGCGTTTTCGGCCTCCACGCGAGGCGCGTGGTGCTCGGAGGAGGACGGTTGCGAAGGGCCTGGATATCGGCCAGGGAGGCGCTGACGGTGAAGCGCGGCAGTCGCTTGCTCACGAGCCACCGGCGGTGCGACCAGCTGCGCGCCCCGCCGCAGGACCCCTGCGAGAGGCAGCTCAAGTCGCGGTCCTGGACCCCCGGGGAGGCGGCGCCCCTGCTGGGAAACCAGTCCGGGCTCCAGAACGTGACCTTCGACATCGTGCTCGTCGCCACGAACGGCTCCATCACCGTGGAGGGGGACGCGGAGGTGCACGCGGCCGCGCTCCTGCTCTGCGCCACGGCCAACCTAACCGTGGGCGGGCTCGTCAGCGCCCGCGGCCTGGGCTGCCCCCCGAACCGCGGCGAGTCGGCGGGCGCCGCCCCAGAGGTCAGCGCGCACGGGGAGGAGGAGGAGGAGGAGGAGGAGGAGGAGGAGGAGGAGGAGGAGGAGGAGGAGGAGGAGGAGGAGGAGGAGGAGGAGGAGGGCGAGGAGGAGTCGGCGGGCGCCGCCCCGGAGGTCAGCGAGCACGGGCGCCGGGATCCACTCTGCGGAGGCGGGGGCGGGGCGCACTGCGGCCACGGCGGCGACGGCGTGCAGAGCGGCGCGCCGCACGCCCCGTGCCTGGGGACCGGGGGCCAGAAGTACGACGGCTGGTGGTCGCGGGAGTCTATGGGCCTTCACCCTCCCTCCTCATTCCTTTGGCAGTTCCTTCGATAAGATGTCGAAGGATTGTCGAGTCCTTGCTGCATAACACTTACGCAGGGGAATTACGCATACGCGCTACACTGCACCTTGGCGGGCGCATTGACGTTGACCCCCTCATGCGAAAGAGCGTGTTCTACCGCTGCTGGCGGAAAACCGGGGGGGGGTCACTACCGGTTCGAACCCCTCCCCCCCCCCCCCTCCGGAAAACCGGGGGGGGGTCATACCGGTTCGAACCCCTCCCCCCCCTCCCCCAGTTCATCATGAAAAGGGGGGGGGTCACTACCGGTTCGAACCCCCCCCCCTCGAAAACCGAGTGGGGGTGCGGACAGTGGTGGGGACGGTGTTGGTGGGGACAGTGGTGAGGGGACAGCGGGACAGTGGTGGGGACAGTGGGACAGTGGGACAGTGGTGGGGACGGTAGTGGTGGGGACAGTGGTGGGGACAATGGTGGGCACAGGGGGGACAGTGGACAGTGATGGGGACGGTGGTGGTGGGGACTGGTGTGGGGACAGTGGGAATGAGGTGGAAACAGTGGAACAGTGGAGGGTACAATGGTGGTGGGGACAGTGGTAAAGGCGGTGGCGAGGACGGCGGTGGGACAATGGGACAGAGGTACAGTGGGGACAGTGGTGGGGACAGTGGGGACAGTGGTGGGAACAGTTGGATTTTCAGTGGGACAGCGGAGGAGTCAGTGGGACAGTGGGGACAGTGGGGATAGGCAGTGGTTGGGTCCGTGGAGACAGTGGGGAGAGTGGAACCGTGGTGGGAACAGTGGTGGGAACAGTGGAGACAGTGCGACAGTGGTGGGGGCACTGGTGGGGACAATAGGGACGGTAGTGGAACCAGTGGGGACAGTGGTGGTAAGGACAGTGGTGCTGGGAACAACAGTGGGGGATGTGATGCGAGCGGTGGTAGGGACCGGGAGTCGTTTGCTGGCGGTGCGTGGGGGGGGGGGGGTCGAACCGGTAGTGACCCCCCTCCGGTTTTCGAGGGGGGGGGTTCCAACCGGTAGTGACCCCGCCCGGTTTTCGAGGGGGAGGGGGGGGGGGGGGGGGGGGGGGGGGGGGGGGGGGGGGGGGGGGGGGGGGGGGGGGGGGGGGGGGTGAGGGGGGGGGGGGGTCCAGCAGGGGGGGGGATTTTCGGAGGGGGGGGGAGGAGACCCCCGGGCTCCGGAGGAAAAGGTTGGCAATTTTGCACAGTAAAGCGGCGGTGGATCACGCTCTCTCCCTCATGCGGATGTCCTGTCCTGTCCTGTCCTCCTCCCTCCAGACTCCATTCCATGTCATTATAAATATATTTTCCCCGTCGCACCCCGAGGCCAGTTGTTAGGGCGGGTCGGGCGTTTGGCCTGAGGTTTCCTCACAGCTCATGTCCCTGAGGCTCAAACATTGACAAGATTCACACGTTGACAAAATTCACAGATGGAGGGCGGGTCGTTTTCAAAATTTTGCATGAGCTGCACGGACTGATGGCGACCCGTTTTCAAAATGTAGTTCTCGTTTCAGCGCCGCGTACATTCGTTTAACAAATTGGAAACGTTTCAAGGATTGGGGGCGGTTCTGTTTACGGATTGAGGGCGGCTCCTTTTCGGAATGTGGTTCTCTCTTTAGCGCCGCGCGCATTCCTTTTTAACGCTGCAAAAGTATCACGGATTCCCATTATCAGCGTACCAGAAATGGTGTTTTGGAAGGGTTCTGGGTTATGAGGGCGCAACAATTACGTTGATTCGCGGTGTTGAAGTCCCAGGAACGGCGTTCTGGCACGATTCAGGGTTGGCAAGACGCAACAGTCAGGTTGACCCGTGGCGTTGGAATCCCGGGAACAATGCATTGACATGTTTTCAGGGTCTTTGAAAAGACTGGATTCTAACGAGGTTGTGTTCTCTCTGTTGGAAATCCACGGTTGTAGGGGCCCATGACGAGGGAGCTTGGAGGAGGGTTTATTCCAACATCGTTGATGACTCTTGGGTTTACACTGGTCCTCCTCCTCCTCCTCCTCCTCCTCCTCCTCCTCCTCCTCCTCCTCCTCCTCCCCCATCCTTCTTCCTCATAATCCTCCTTCTCCTTCTCGTCTTCCTCCTCCGCCTCTCCGAGTAGATGGGGCCAGAAGTATGACGGCTGGTGGTCCCCTCCCAGCTTGGGTCCGAGGAGACGGGGTCGGAGGCTTGCCCCGCGTCGCCGATGTGCATCGACGATGCGGCTCGATGCGGAGCCCGGGTTTCCCCCCGCCGACGTCGCCGATGCATCGCCGACGCATCGCCGATGCATCGCCGATTCATCGCCGAGCCATTGCCGATGCATGGAGCGATGCGACGCGATCCTCCCGACCCTGTCTGCCATCTGCCCGGACCCCATTTAGGAGGCCTCTGGGGAGGCAACGGGGTGCCGATGCTGCCGCTCGTCCGGGAGAGCCCTCGCCGCCACGGCGGGAGTCTGCTTCGAAGAGCCCAGGCCCGGGTGCGCCCCGGGAGACGTCCGACTGCAGAAAGGAGTGACCCGTCGCCGTGGTGACCTCTGGTGCGGGCCACTTCGGGGGCAACGACAGGGGCGGATAGGCATAGGGGGGGGGGCGCATCGACTCCCAATCGCCCATTGATCGCCGACAGGGGCCCGATAGCCCAAACCTGCCCGTGAAGATGCGGATTCGCTATCGGGGGCCTATCGCCGATCTATGGGCGATGTATCGCCGATTCCAGGTCGATGCATCCCCCCCTAGGCCAGTCCCCCCCTCTCGTTGCCCCTCACCACTGGGGCCCCCCGATCGCTGAACGCGAGGCGGCAGTGGCGTCTGGTGCGCTCGTGTTTGGCCCCCCACCCCGCAGCCCCCCAAAAAGCCGCGCACCAAAGGTCCCTCTTGCCCAGGGTCACTCTTGCGTGTAGCCGAGGGGCCCTGGGAGTACACCCATCAGACAGCTGCGGAAAACGCATCAACTTCACGGGCTCCAGATCTCGCTTGAGAAAATCACGAACGCGGAATGGACCCTGTTTTTTTCTTGCAGATTTTTTTTGTCGTAGAGCTTTCGTACATCTGGACCTGGGCTACTGTTTAAGAGAATGCTTGGAGCGAAGTCCACCTTTTCAGTCTCACATTTTCTTGACTCTAAACATGGGTGTGCCCAGGGTCACTTCTGCGTGTAGTCAAGAGGTCACTCTTGCGATTATCCGTGATGCTCCCCCAGGTGGGGGTTCGAGGCGTCGTCGTCGGCGTCGTCGTCGTCGTCGCCGGCGTTGGCGTCGGCGTCGGCGTCGTCATCGGCTTGGCGTCGTCGTCGGCGTCGGTGTCGTCGTCGGCGTCGGCGTCGTCGTCGTCGGCGTCGTCGGCGCCAGCGCGTCGGCGCCGTCGTCGTCGTCGTCGTCGTCGTCGTCGTCGTCGTCGTCGTCACCGTCGTCGTCGTCGTCGTCGGCGTCGGCGGCGTCGGCGTCGGCGTCGTCGGCGTCGGCGTCGTCGGCGCCGTCGCCGTCGTCGTCGTCGTCGCCGTCGTCGGCGGTGTGGGTGCCCCGCCGCGCCGCTCCCCCCGAGGTGGGGGTCCGAGGCCGCGGGCTCGGCCAGGCCGACGCTCCTGCCGACGTGGTCGGCCAGCGGGGGCGGCGGCCCCTCCGGCGGGGCGGGCGGGGGAGTCAGCCTCGGGGGCTGCTGCAGGCGCCCCTGGCCCCCAGACTCGAGCAGTGGCGAGGCGTCCCAGCTCGGCGATGGGCCTGCCCAGGAATGTGCTGAGAACCTTTTTGTTGGTCTGCACGAGATGTTTTTAGAGCATGTCTGCCTGCGGCTGTCTTGTTCGAGCACAGCGTGGGTGTTCTAAGAGTAGTGTTGTGTTCTTAGAACACGTGTCTTGTTCTAAGAGTAGTGTTGTGTTCTAAGAGCATGTCTGCCTGGGCTGTCTTGTTATGAGAGTAGTGTTGTGTTCGTAGAACATGTTTGGGTTCTAAGGACATTTCGTGGTAGGTCAATCGGAATGCCGTGTGTGGGTCCCTGCTCAACAGACTTAAGTCGGGCCTGCCCTTCTACAGGAGGGGTATCCAGAAACAGTCCAGAAATAGGCTGGGGACGATTGTTGATTACTGTCACTGTTTTGGTGTATGCTGTGACTTGTTTGGATTCTTCTTCCCAGATCCCCCTTTCAGCAGGACATGCCCGACCTAGCCCCAGACCCCCTCGAGTCATGAGGAAATCACGACCGGAGGTCTTTCGCTATTTTGGGCCTCTGATCGGCGGCGAGCGAGGGGGGGAAGCGAGAAGGAGAAGGCCTTTTCAGAATGGTGGTGGCGGGACTTTCCAGAGGGCCTCGCGCCTCCTGAGAGGTGCTTTTTGCGTCTCGGGGGAAGGCTCAGGAAACTTCTCAGAAGGCCCGGGGACTTTCGAGCCTTCTGAGAAGGCCCGCCCCTTCTCACTTCCCCCCCTCGCTCGCCGTCTACCCAGACCCCCTCGAGTCATGAAAATCACGACGATAGTTTTTGTCACTATTTTGGGCCCCTGGGGGCCCTCGCCAGGCCTCGGGAGCGACGACTCGGGATGGAAAGACGGCCCCGGGGAATGGGTCGAGGCCGCCAGGGCTGGCGTTAAAGCGGAATCATAATGTCAGGGGTCCGGGCCCCAGGTGAGCGACGCGAAACGCGTTCGACTGCGCCGACATTGGGGCGCGTAGGGTGCCCGCGTAAGATCGTGACCAATGAAGCGTGCCGTGCTGGCGGCCCGCGTGAGTTCTAGCGCAAGGTCGCGGTGGCTCCAGGTGCCCCCAGCTTTTCGCTCCATCTTGGAGCCCCCCCCCCCAGAGATCCGACGCTCCAGAAAACTGGAGCGGGCGGCTCTTGGTCGTTTTCGGCCTCTCGCCGGGCCCAGGGACCATAACAAAAACGATTCGGGACCAACAACCGGTCTTAGGGAAGCGGTCCAGACTTCTGGGGCCCACACATCTCCTCCTCCTCCTCCTCCTGCTCCTGCTCCTCTTCCTTCCTCCTCCTTCTCCTCCGCCTCCTCTTCCTCCTCCTCCTCCTCCTCCTTATCCTTCTCCTTCTCCTCCTCCTCCTCCTCTTCCCGCTCCTCCTCTTCCTCCTCCTCCATTCTCCATTATCCTCCTCCTCCTCCTCCTCCTCCTCCTCCTCCTCATCATCATCATCATCATCATCCTCATCCTCATCCTCATGCTCGTCCTCTTTCTTCTCTCCCTCATCTTCCCCCTTCTCCTCCTCCTCCTCCTCATCCTCCTCCTCGTCCTTCTCCTCCTCCTCCTCCGCGCTTCGTCGTCCTCCTCCTCCTCTTTTTCCTTCCCCGTCCTCCTTCTCTTTCTCCTTGTTTTTCCTTCTCCTCCTCCTCCTCATCCTCCTCCTCCTCGTCCTCCTCCTCCTCCCCCTTCATCCTCCTCCTCTGCCTCCTCCTCCTCATCTCTCCTCCTCCTCCTCCTCCTTCTCCTCTCCCTCCTCCCTCCTCCTCTCCTCCTCCTTCCTCCTCCTCCTACTCCTTCTCCTCCTCCTTCCTCCTCCATCCTCCTCCTCTTCCCTCCTCCTTCTCATTCTCCTCCTCTCCTCCTCCTCCTCCTCTTCCCCCTCCTCATCTCCTTCTCCTCCTCCTCCTCCTCCTCCTCCTCCTCCTCCCCCTCCTCCTCCCCCTTTTCCTTATTTTCCTTCTCCTCCTCCTCCTTCTCCTCCTCCTCCTCCTCCTCCTCTTCCTTCTCTTCCTTCTCTTCCTTCCTTCTCCTCATCTTCCTCCTTCTCTTCCTTCTCCCTCACCTCCTCCTCCTTCTCCTTCTCCTCCTCCTCTTCGTCGTCCTCCTCCTCTTTCTTCCCCCTCATTATCCCCCCCCCCTCATTCTCCTCCTCCTCCTCCTCCTCCTCCTCCTCCTCCTCCTCCTCCTCCTCCTCCTCCTCCTCCTCCTCCTCCTCCCCCTCCTCCCCCTTCTCTTCCTCCTCTTCTTCCTCCTTCTCTTCTTCCTCCCCCTCCTCCTCCCCCTCCTCTTTCTGTTTTGTTCCTCCTGGCCCAGGTGCCCCCAGCTTTTCGCTTCATTTTGGGGCCCCTGGGGCCCTCTGGGCCTCGTGAGCTCTGGAGGCCGTGGGGGCCTCCATGGCAATTCCGGGGGCACCTGGGGGCCAGGGGCGGCTCTGGCCACGCCCGATCCTCTGGGTGCGCGCGCACGTCCTGCACCTGGCCTCGAACTCCACCTGCCTCTCCGCCAGTGGGGACGCCGGCGTGCTGCTCCAGGACGGGGGCTCGGAGGGCGCGGGCGGCGGCGCCGGCGGCAGCATCCTCCTCAACGCCTCCTCCATCGTGGGCTCCGGGCGCGTCGAGGCGGACGGCGGCCACGGGGGCGGCTGCACCGGCGGCGGCGGGGGCGGCGGCGCCATCTCGACTATGGACGTAAGATGCGAGCGACCTTGCGCCGGAGTGACCTCTGTGGTGGCGGCCCAGTGGGGCCCCCGATCGCCGAGCGCGGCGCGACGGTCCCAGGCCCCCTCGCGTGGTGAAAAACAAGTTAGGGCGGGAGGTTGTTCGGCATTTTCGGCCTCCCCGGGCCCTCACTGGGCCTCGGGGCCGTCAAAAAGCGACTCGGGACGAAAGACCGGTCCCAGGGAAGGGGTCCAGACGTCTGGGGGACGACGTCATAGAAAACTCATGACGTCGGGGGTCTGGGGTGCGGGCCCACTGGGGTCCCCCGATCGCCGAGCGCGGTGCGACAGTAGCGTCTTCTTGCGCGCTGGTGTGTGGTCCCCCCGCGACCCCCGAAAAGCCGCACACCAAAGATCCCTCTTACCCAGGGTCACTCCCCTGAGTTCCGACGTTGCCAGAAAATTGCAGCATCGCGAAAAATCACGCCTGGAGCCCTGGACCCCATCTTTCGTCTCTTTCGGAGCCGGATCGATCGGTGATGGTCCTGGGGCCCGAAATGGAGCGAAAACGCCCGCTGTGAAAAAATTGCAACGCCAGGATCTCTGGGTCTTACGTGTAGTCGACCATTGGCGGCATGTGCCTCGACGCGCCCGCGGCGTGGAGGGGCTTCCGGGGCGCTCTCACGGTCGAGGGCGGCGCGGGCGACAGCTAGGGGAACGAAGAATGACAGAAACATGAAGACTCAGAGGTCCGCGCGGATTTCTCGGATCGGTGCTGGGGCCTTTTGGCGGCGCCTCCGGCGCCGCCCCTGGCGCGCGCCGCGCGCCAGGGAGGGGGTTCCAGCGCGGATCCGAGAAATCCGTGCAGGCCTCAGAGTTTTATGCTTATGTCATTCTTTGGGAGGCCCAGAGATTGGCACCAACACCAACACAGGGGGTTGAACGCCTCCACAGGGAGAAGATGACCCTCGATCTCGGTGTTAAGTGGTAATATTTCGGTCGCTCTGGGAGCCAAAATATTACCACCATCGCCGAGATCGGGATCCTCCTCCCTCGGTGGAGGAACACCGCCGACATTGGTGTTGGTGTCAACCTCTAGTCCTGCCATCCTTCGTTCCCTTAGACAGCAGCCCCGCCTGCGGCCGGCGCGCCGGGCCGCAGGAGCAGCGCGGGGGCGCGGGGGAGCTGCTGCAGCTGGCCGGGTGCCGCCCCGGCCAGGAGGGCATCTTCTGCGCGGAGTGCGCCCCCGGCTTCTTCAACCCGGAGAAGGACCGCCGGCGCGCCAGGAGGGGGGAGGAGCAGGAGGAGGAGGAGGAGGAGGAGGAGGTGGAGGAGGTGGAGGGGGAGGAGCAGGAGGAGGAGAAGGAGGAGGTGGAGGAGGAGGAGGAGGAGGAGGAGGAGGAGGTGGTGTTCGAGCTGCGAGGGTTTCGCGCGCTTGTTGTTGCTTCTTGGTGGTGTTCTGGCCTCGGGGTGATTGCCAGCGGTTGCGCCTCGGCGAGAGCGTTCGGGGATGCCTGGATCGTCCCGAAAGGGCTGCCAGAGGCCAGAGCTCTACCAGAAGGTTGCCAGCAGGAGGGTACGGGCTTTTTCAGAGGGCTCGGATGTCCTCCAGCCTTCCGAGAAGTGTTCTGAACCATCCCCGGAGACAGAGAGAATGTTTCAGAAGGCTGGAGAGCTTCCGAGAAGCCCCGCCGCCTTTTGAGAAGGCCTCCTACTTTTAACTTCCCCTCCTCGCTCACCGCCGAAAGGAGCCTAATGGCACGGAGGCTGTCTACAGGGTCTGCGTCCCCTGCACGAATAAGCCGGCGCACGCGAACTATACCGCAAAGGGCTGGTTGAACGAGTCTTGCCCCTACGTGTGCCCTGGCGGCTACCCACCGGTGGAGGTCAATCCGAATTGCGATGATCCTTGGACGTACTATTTTGCTTTTTTCGGGGGAATCCGTGGTGCCTCTGTCTTCACAATCAGCATGATATCTTTCTTCGGGCTCTCGGTGTCAGCCTCTCGTGTCCGACGGAGGAAGCGGCTGCAGTGGTTGCGAAAGCACCAGCAAGGCAGCCACCAATTCCACGGCCTGGCCGACGAGATGTTGTTATTGTTTGAATCGGTACGTGGGCCGCATCCTCTGGCAGACATGCACCGGTGGAGCCAAGAGCGCTCGCATTACAGACCGGAGCGCTCGCTGACAGGCCGCTTCGGCTTCATAGAGCGGTGGGTGAGACCGCTCCTGCCGACGCTCATGAGGAGGACGCACAGCCAGACCCATCTGCTCAGTGTCGGCGATCTCCCATACCACATCGGGCGGATTTATCTGCTTGGAGAGAACAGTCCGAAAGACCCTTGGCGGCTGTGCAGGCAGCCGCCAGACGCCCTGAAGCACCTGATCGACCCTGCGCGTTGGGAGGCTTTCGCGGCACACGTGACGGAGAGATGCCAACATAAGATACGCAGCCAAAAAGTGGTAGAAGGTGTGCTCAGCTGGCTATCTGAAAGGCTTCGCCCACTGCCGCTGGCCTCCTTCTTGATTGACTGGACGGCTGGGTTTGTTGGTTGGATTGGATTGCTGATTCGCTAGTTGGACAACGCAAGAAAAATTGTTCGTCTTCACAGACATGGGTGCGTAAGCTGTCCGCGTAAGATCGCTCGTAAGCGCCCTCGTCTCCATTGTGTCGTGCCGCGCTGGCGCCCCGCGTAAGCCACCGCGTAAGGTCGCTATGCCATCTCGCTTAAGACGTGTTCGATCCTCGCTCAAGTGGTTGACAGGGTGGCAACTCGGGTGGTGGACTAGCTGGCAGGCGGGCTGCCTGGCTGCCTGGTTGGCAGGCCTGCTGGTTGTTCGGGTGGCTGGCTGGCGTGTTTGCAGGTTCGTTGCGGAGGGAACGAAGTCACAGGGAGGGACGGAGCCTGAGCATGCTTTACGAGGGAGCGTGGCCTGTGCAGAACCACCGTATGGCTCTTAACGAGTGACCGTGACTGCGCGAGCGATCTTCCACCGTTGCTTCTTGTTGCTGCGATGGGTCGTGGATTTCGGGGCGCGGGCCCCTTGTTGTAACGACGCATCGCGGCCTTGGGAACGCAACCCAGCGTTTGTTGTACGAGGGTCAGTGGCCTTGGGGGTGCTGATGTGCAGTTGTCTCGCCCTGTCCCGTGGCACCTGGAGCGCGGACCGACGTTGGTGATGAGGAGGTCGTGGCCTTGAGAGTGAGGATGCATGCGCTGTCTGTCAATGAAAGGTCGTGGGCGTGAATGTCGGGTCCTTTCTTGCACAAGGGCTCATTGCCTTGAGAGTATATACATGTTCTGTCGAGGTTGCGGCCTTAGGAGTGCGGGCCCTTTGTTGATCGCATTCGGGATCGTGGCACTGAGAGCGCAGATCCATCAGTGCTGTTCCCGATGGATGGTGGTTGTGGTAGCGCAGCTCACTTTTATGGTTTGATGGGTCGTGTCCTCGGGAGGGCGGTCCATCCGCTTTGCCGAAGGGTCGTGGCCGCGTGAGCGAAGATCTATGTACTGTGCGCAGGGCCGTGGCGATCGCGGCCTCCGGAGCGCGGACCCTCAGCGTTTTGTTGTTACGTACAAGGGTCGTAGCTGTGCAGGCGCGGAAATAGGGTGGTGTTGCCACTGTTGTTGGTTCTGCGAGCGCTGATGCATGGTTTCTCATGCCAGTGGCCGTGGCTGCACGAGCGCGGATTCACTGATTGGCTGTGGAGGGATGCAGCTGTGAGCACGTTTACCTTGGGCCGTGGCCTTGGGAACGCGGGGCGGCTTAAAAACATGAAACAAAAAAGATAAGTAAAACCAATCGTGCTCGTTAGAGTGTGGGTGAGGTTTTTTACGAAGGATGGTGGCATCGGGGACGGGGGCCCATGTAACTTTGGGCCTCGCAGCCTGATGCTCCCCGCCAGTGGGGGCGGCTGATATTTGCCATTGGCGGAATACGTACGCCATCGGCTGCGTTTGGCCCGGGCCGCGAACGTGGCTCTGTACGTTTGGTCGCGCAGCGAGAATACATGCCCTGGCGAGACATTCTGGCGTTTGACTTCTGGCTCGAACGCCAGCCGCTTAGGCATGAAATTCGGCACGGACAGACAGATCACATTGGCTTTCGTCGATGTCCTAGACTACGGCAGGTCTTTGCAGGACTGGGTGGTCAAACCACCTTTGCCAATGGTCATCGCCGCAGCAGGCGATGGCAAGTATACTGCCCCATACCAGTTAGATTATCCAGCTGCCTGCGGCAAATCCCGCCACCGTGCCAGCCCAGCATTCTTGGTGGCGACTGCTGGAGGCGGCACGGAGGCCGTCACGTGTGACTCGTGTCTTGGGAGAGCAATGATGATGAGGAGGAGGAGGATGAGGAGGAGGAGGAAGAGGACTGCCGTCACACGTGACACCGTTCGTCTTCACTTCTGAGGAGCTCTCATGGAGCTCTGTTGGACCGTCTTGTGGCTTTATTGGCATCCTGTGAGGCAGTCTTGGGGGTCCTTTGGGGCCCTCTGGGGTCGTCTTGGGGCCATCTTGGGCCATCTCGTGGCTCTGGGACCGTCTTGGGGCCCTCATGGCAGCATGGTGGGTGCATGGGGGGCCGTCGTGGGGCCCGTCTTGGCGCCGCCTTACGCAGTCGAAGGACCTTTGGAGCCATTATGGGTTATACGGGAGGCCCTCTTTGGCCGTCTTGGGGCCGCTTTGGATGCCTCCGGGGCCCTCGCGAGATCCTCTTGGGCCGCTTTGGGGGATCGTGGAGACTTCTTGGGCCGTCTTGAGCTGACGGAAGCCCGAAAAAGGCGAGAATGCGAACATCATGTGGACATGCAAGAGAAATCAAGGACTTGGGCTTCCTCGGGCCATGTTGGAGGTCCTCTTGGCGCCCTTTTGGGCCCTCTTGGAGGCACCTTGGGCCGTCTGGGGGCCATGTGTGGCCGCATCGGGGCCGCCTTGGCCCAGCTTCGAGGCATCCTGGGCCGCCGTGATTGCCGTGGTCGCCTGCCCGGGCTGCCTTGGAAGCTCGGGTCGCGGGCACGCGGCTCCTGACGAGGGAGCGCGGCCTCGGGAGCGCGGATCCTTGGGTCGCGGCCTCGGGAGGGAGGGGGGTGCACGCAATCGGGCGCGGCGAGAGCGGGGGGGGAGTGGGGGGGGAACTGGTGAGAATACAGTGGAGACCCAAGCAGAGGAGCACCCTGCTTGCCTCCAGGGTGCCCTGGTTGTTTGGGAGTTTTGATGGTTTCGCTGTGGAGAGGGTGGCGTGCCCACACCAAAGCTCGATGGACTTCCTGGGGTCTCAGGGTTGTGTCCCTTGTGGAAGGTTTCTTGCGGTCGGGCCCCCACTGCACAGAAGCCCTGCACGGCAGCACCTGGCAGTCTTGCACGCCCGCTTAGTGCAGCCGCCGTGACGGACCTCGACCCGTTCGTGCAGTCCGTCTCACAGTACGTGGGGCGGCGCGTGTGGCACCAGGTCTTCGGGTGTTGCTAGAAGTGCTCCAGGCCCAAGGTGTCCCCAGGATTCCAAGGAGGCCCCCATGGCCTCCAGAGCACCCCTCGCGAGGCCCAGAGGGCCCCAGGGGCTTCAAGATGGAGCGAAAAGCTGGAGGCACCTAGGGGCCAGGGGCACCTCTAGCAACCCCCCAGGTCTTGCTGGCCTTCAACCTGCTGGCGCGGCTGCTGCCTCCCAATCCCTCCGAGGAGGACGTGAGATTGCTGCGCCGCTCCATGGCACAGATCTCGACCGAGGTCATGCACCAGACGGACTTGGAGTGCCACGCGGTGTTGTTCAGGGCCCCAGCGCACAAGCGGTCCCACGTCCCGCGCAAGCCCAGGATCACCGAGCGCGCTCCGCTGCTCGCAAAGAGTCTGCCCGCAAGCGTTCGAAAATCGCATTGTTCGCCTCGAGAATCTGATGGATCGCAAATCCCCCACGGCGGATCTAGGCCATTTGCGAGCAGTCCCTCTGCGAGTCGTGAAACGCGCCTGTCTGCAGGAGAGTGAGCCGCCAGTCCTCCTGGGAGGCGATGGTGGCGGGCAGCTCCAGAGGGTCGCCCAAGGGCGGCCAGACCCCGGTCCGATCCGACGTTCCCCTGGTAGGATATCAGGAGGGAAATCACACAGACACACATAATCGTCGATTCCCAGGAAGGTATGGGAAAATATTGGACGAGGGGGGGAGGTCGCAAAACCTGAAAAGATTGAAACCTGTGGGGGAGTCTAGGATTTGTGCTTATTTCTTTGTGTATCCCTGAGCCCCCTCAAGGATATCGGCACCGCCCCGCCCTGGTGCTGTCGCAGCGGGCCCCCTCCGACACCCTGCGCCACCAGGGACGCCCTGGGCGCGTGGGGGCAGACTCGCAGGTTCGACTACACGTGAGAGTGACCCTTCGCCGGAGTGGCCTTTGGTGCGGGCCCGATAGTAGCGTCTTCCGTGCTGGCACCAAAGGTCACTCTTACCCAGGCCCACTCTTGCGTGTAGCCGACAGGCGCGGAAGAGACCTCGGGTGCGCCGCGTGGTGCACGTGGGTTCCAGCGGCCTCTTCTCTCCCACGGACGAGCTCCTCCTGGACGCGGCGGACGACTCCCCCGTGCTGAGCTTCAGCTTTGCCCCGATCGGTCCAGGGGAGTCGCCGTTGAACGAGGCGGGGTTCAGCGACGGCCTGCAGCCGCTGTCCCTCTTCAGGAGCGACAGCATCCAAAACTTGGAGCTGAACCAGGACAGCAACCGCTGGCACATCACCGTCGGCGCGGCCGAGCACTCGAGCCGGCCCATGCCCGACTTCAGCGAGGCCAGCGGCATCTCCTCGCCCATGCACGACGACGAGCCGCCCTCGCCCGAGAAGCCCCAGCAGGCGCGCTGGAACCCGAACCGCGGGTCGCAGAGGCTGTCCACGGCGTCCGCCTCCAGCTCGCTGGCGGCCCTGGAGGCGCCGCTGCTCGGTCACGCCCGGGGCGACCGGCGCAGGCGCCGCCTCCCGGCGTGCCTCGCGTGGGGCTTCTGCGAGGACCTTTGGGGCTCGGCGGAGGCTTGGTTCCGCCTCCTCTGCACGCCGTGCCAGGCGGCCTACCGCGGCTACCTGCGGACGCTGCGCGGCATCAGCGCGCTGGGCGGCGTCGGCAGGCAGTCGGGCCTGTTCCTGCGGCACCGGAAGCCCCGGGGTTCCCAGGTCACGACGCTGTTGTGCCTGCTGCTGTGGCTCCTGGTCGCAACCATGTTGTTTATCGCACAGTCGACCGTCTTGTTTCGCCTGGGTCGGCACCACTACTCCTTCTTTGCAGCGCTGCTCTCGCCCCCGTTTGCCGAAATCATGGCGCTGGTCCACGGGGTGATGTTCGTCTGCGGCGCAACTGACGGCAGCACCGTGTGCATGTTCGTCGTCGCTTCCATCAGCAGTATGGCTGTCGCTCTTATCTGTCGCATCAATGCGGTCTTTTACGTGAACATGGACGCGATTTACGTTGAGGGGTTGTTGCACGTCATGGCCGAGTACGGCATTGCGTTCGCGTCGAAAGTGTTCATCTGCCGACTGGTCAACATGATGATCGCGTGCGCGGAGATCTTCTTCCTCCATCTCCTGCACCTTCTCCCTGTCCTCCAGGGGGTTCCGGAGATTCCCAGATCGAGGTACGGAGTCCTGTTGAGGTTCTTGGAGGCCTGTGGCCCAAAAGCTAATTGTTTCAAGCAAGCACAGTGGTAACAGTTTAACGGTGTTCGTTTTTATTCACTCGCGTGCCATTCACTTGGAGGTTGAAGGGTGAGACCGAATTCAAACGAAGTCGCCCATCAGAAATTTGGTTTGGATTCCAGTTTCGCGTTCTAGGTGTGTCGTGCGTGCAGGCTTGGCGAAGCAGCGCGAGCTCCTGCATTAGCTAGGCCCAGGGCAAGCCAAAATGAGTCGGTGTCCTGCTTCCGGGGCGTGCCCAGGGTTGTCCCGTGGGTGCTCCGAGGTTGTCCCGCGGTTGTCTTGTGGTTGTTCCGCGGTTGTCCTCTGGTTGTTCCGTGGCTGTCCCGTGTGGTTGTCCCGTTGTTGTCCCGTGTGGTTGTCACGTGGTGTTCCCGTAGTTGTTTTGTGCTCGTCTTGTGATTTTCCCGTGTGGTTGTCCCGTGGTTGTCCAGTGGTCGTCCCGTCTGTGGATAGACGGCAGTGAGATGAGAACGATAGGTAAGTAGTGAGACCCATGGACCGTCTAATGCGAGGTTGAGCTTCAGGGGAGGGGGGAATGGGGAGGGGAACGACCAATTGTCTCACACGCCTTTGTTCCCCCAGCAAGCGGGGGTCAGCAGATATAGGATCGCAGGCCTAGAGGTTGACACCAACACCAATATCGGCGGTGTGCCTCCCCCGAGGGAAGAAGATCCCGATCTCGGTGATGGTGGTAATATTCTGGCTTCCAAGGCGACCGAAATATTACCACCGACACCGAAATCCAGGATCATCTTCCCCCTGTGGAGGCAACCCCCTGCGTTGGTGTTGGTGCCCATCTCCAGGCCTGGTCACTGGGAAGGCGTTCCCGAGAGGGCCTCGCCTTCGTTGGCCGCAGGAGCTGGCAGCGCCTCCTCGGCGGAGGGAGGCGGCGGAGAGGCCGGCGAGGCGGCGGAAGCAGAACGAGGCCGCCTTCGCCGGCGGACGGCCGGCGGAAGCAAGCGGAAGTAAAAGTCGGCCTCCGAAGAGATGAAAACCCAGACATGATCGCGTCGTAAAAGAGATCAGGGTGGGAGGCTTTTGCCAGTTTTCGGCCTCGGGGGGCCCTCGCCGGGCCTCGGGGCTGTCAAAAGACGACTCGGGATGAGAAACCGGGTCCGGGGAAAGGGTCGGGACTTCAAGGGACGCCGTCCTGAAATTAGCCTGGCGAAGAACCCAACCATATGCAGTTGTCAGTACCGCAGCTGCGGGTTTCATCTTCAATGGAACTCCCCATAGGACTACGGATCGTGTGAGGGGTGTGCCGAGATGGATGCCACTGGGGCATT